CCCGCCCCCGCGCCGCCGTCAGCGCCGGGCGGTGAGGGCCGCCCCCGGTTTTCATTAAGCCGACGAGGAGGCGACGGCGGTGAGCGAGCACCGGAGGCCGGGGTAGGCCCGTCCCTCCCCCGAGGCGGGAGGCCGGTGGGTGAAGGCCCCCCGCGCCGGTCCTCCCCGGCCGTGGTGGTGGGGGAGGGCCCGGGCAGGGCCGCGCCCTGGGGGCTCCGCTTTCAACGGCCACGGGGAAAGGGACCAAAAAAAGGGGGGGACACGGAAAATAAAAACCGCAGAGTCGGGAAAAAAAAGGTGCGAGGGTCACCACAGCAGCTGCAGCACGGGAAGCGTTGTCTGTCCTCAGCGGCAGCACGGCCTCGTTATTTCAAGAAGCTCTGCCCGTATGACCACAGAAGGGAAGTACTTCTTATTAAATGCTCTTTATTTTTATCTACAGCCCAGTATTGCATATAGATCACCTGTCTTTTTAAATACAATAAAGCTATCAAGCAGGTAAACCTCATCGCCTTCCTTCCTCACACCCAAACACAAAAGAGATAGACCAACAGGCTGCTGCTGGTTTTTAGGCAATATGCTTACGTCAGCACATTTCTGGTTTGATCAGCAGCAGAACTGGCTGACGTGATACTCGTTACTTGCCTACAGTTCCACATGTGCACAGATCTTCAGGAAAGCTCTTTAAAAGGCAAGTGTGCAGCAAATCCCTGGACTTTTGCATCCTCGGTAATTTGCTGAAACATTTTATTATGTTCAAGTTAATAACAAATTATATTTTTCATGAACTTTGTGTTAACGTCGCACTGGACTTCCGTGAAGTGTTTAAAGACCCAGTTCTAGGTCTTCCAGTTCCTGAAGGAGAGCAGTTTCTTTCTGAATCTTCTCCAACTACAACAAAAAAAGCACAAGATGTCACAGAGCTAGCTTATTATAAAATGAAATGAGAATAAACTGCATACATCTTACAGTACCTGATTTTTCTCTAGCTGTTTGCCAGCAGCTGCTTGTTCCTTCAGCTGCTCAATTGCTTTTAGTTTCTGTAAAAACAAACAAACAAAACACACTAATGCAAAAATATTGGTGAACCACAAGTAGAAAAAAGTCTTAGAAGTTCCTGCCCTTGCAATTGCCTGATTTACCAGAAGGCAGATCTCAATATGGAAGACACATTTCATTTAAGCATCTCCAGATGCTCAATCCAGAATTTCCCACCAATAAAAGACATTTATTTCAAGAACAAAACCTAGAGAATAGAAGCGCTTCTTAGTCTCTGAAATGTAAACACCATACATTAGCTCACTGCAGGGCTGGATCCAAATTCAGAAATTACTCCTCCACTATCACTGTATCTCTCTTCACCACACATTTTCCTCAGAAAGCCTGGAATATTAATCCAAACAGAGATGATGAAAAACAGGAGGCAGCCAAGAGAAAAAAGCCCCGATGGATTACGTAGAAATGGGAAAGATTCTCTAGCCTGAACCAAACAACTTCCGTTCTGAAATTATTTAATCCAAGAATTTCCAAGATTGGCAGTAAACTTGACATTCATACCATTTAGAAGTTAGGGAAGAAACCAAAACCACATAGCATTTTGTCAGATCCAAGATCCAATAAAGAAGCAGCCCACACAGCTGCTTTCTAAGCACAAACACCTTTAAGCTGTACCCCTACCCCTCAGCTCTGAGCAGCGGCTGCACATGCAGCAGTATTCGTCACAGGAGACTGGAATACTCTTCCATGCACCTGTCAGTGGCTTCTACCCTGTCTAGACGCTACTCTGGTAAGATCTTTAGGAGTCCTGGCAAAGGATGACCTCCACTGTTTTAGGAGATGGAAAAGCAAAAGGAAGTTGGTTTACAAATTCAGGAGATTACCATCTGTGTAAATGCTACCCTTCTAAGCTCAAGTCACCTTACAATCAGACTAGATCTTATAGACCATCTCTTAGAGAAATCTGCTGCTTGTTAGAAAAAAAAAAAAAAAAACACCCAACAAAAAACAACACCTCACCTTTTTTAAATTCTTTATCTTCTTGTCAACTTCAGGATCTCCTGATGTAAAGGTAGGCACAGCACTCCGTGGTGCATTCTGTGATGCTGAGGACTGTGTAGATTCCTGGTTTGCTTCAGCTTTGGCCTCCTGTAGACAAATAAGATAAACACATTATCTTGATTGCAAAGGGACTGAAAAATGTCTTTAATCATTTTAAGGAATCCATTTAATATTTCTTCTTTCACTAGTTTGCTGGTGTACTCCAAAATTTGTAAGTGACATGCTTTGATGTATTGAATTACCTATATATATGCTTTCCACAAAAAGGGGGTTATCTATAACAACTCACATGCTGCATCTTGTTTAATTTCTATTTCCTCAAGACACCAACCATACATAGCATAGGGAAGCATCAGTAAGGATGACACGACAAACACATACACAAATATTTTATAAAGTGGACTGGCAGGTCATTGTCTCTGAAGTAAAAGGGCTCAAAACCAGCGTAAGAAACTAAAAAAAAAATCTTATTTAAAGAAATTATTGCTTCAGAATTTTGTAGAAATTGAAAGGCTAATACCAAAAGCTGATTTTTATCTACCTAGCCAAAGAACAGCAAGCAAAACAGAGCAGGCTGTCTTTGATCTGCCCTCATAACGTGCCGCAGCCCTGACCTGCTGGGGGACACACATCAAAGCAGAAAGTCTGTTCTTACCTTTCACCAACCATTGAAAAAAAACCAAAACCCAAACCTGTGCAGACTGTCTGAAGGTCAAAAGTCAGGATTACTTAGTCTTAACACTGATTTCCGCTACCATTCACAGCAACTAACCAAAGCTGTTATTTTTAAGTCATCCTTTTGTACCTGCTTCAGTCTGATTAGAAACTCTACCACCCTCCCCACAACTTAACACATGCAAGATGTGTGGAGGGCTCTCAGTGGGACTAACAGTCATCGCCCTGAGACTGATCAGCACTGTTTGTTAAAACTAATTAACATTATCCTTGAAAGAACTACTTTTGCAGTACCTGTTTAGCAGCTTTCTTTGCTTCATGCTTCCTTTGATTTTTGAGAGCTGTTTTAGAGAGTGGCTTATCACCGCTTCCTGACTGCGGTTTCATATTCTGAGGTGGCTCATCCTCATGCTGCAGCATATGGAAAATTAACAGTTACAAAACCAATACTCCATGTTGGCAAGCGCAATGGTACAAAAAAACCAACAGTGATGCTCTAAACCTACTTAAGACAACACCATATGCAAGATGAACCATAAAGGAAGAAGAAAGAAAAACAAACAAAGGAAAAAAAAAAGTTTGTGCCCTTTCAAGTAGCAGAAGACAGTGTGAAAAGGGCTTCAAACTCATTCATTCTCAAGTTTGGATGGGACTATCCTGTATGTCCTAAAGATTTCATGGACTTCTGATAAAATAATCATCATGTTTTCTATCTGGAGCTGAAGGGGGGCAGGGGGAATAAAATCAAAGAGGAATAAATCAGCACAAAATTACTGAAGCTTGGCATTTTGCTTTTGCTGACAACTCTTAAAACTCAATCTCCTAGTGACAAAGGAAAAACAGGTTGCTGGGAGGGGAAATGGGGTGGCGTGAAAAGGGGTTTTTTAAGGTAACTCTTAAGCGAGGAGCTGGATTGTTTTAATGCACATGACAAGATTTCTGGCCCATATAAGTAAACGATTACTTTATTTAATGCATCTTTTCTCTACTACCTCTGCTTGTTGATCATTTGCAAAAACTGACATGAGCATGAGATTCCTCACAAGCCAAACAGCAGTCTTTCCTTCAAAAGCACCAGGCTCAAAATCAAAGCTCTTCCAAGACTTACATATCAAGGGTGCAATTGTTAAATGTCGTTAGTTGCTACTCAGCCTACTTTGAAAATTTGCAGAAAAGAAACTAATTAGACAAGTAGGTCACTATACTGAAACCTGTTTAAACAGCAGCTGACCGGCTAACAATCAAATCTCTTTCTAGCAAGTGAACTTACCTTAAAAAAAAAAAAAAAAAAAAGCAGCTGTTAGGAGGACAGTCAAACCACCTGTCTAGCTGGATTTAGACTAGTAAGTCAGGTCACCCAAATCAGAGGTTTCTATCTTAACTAGAGTATCCAATTTCACCATAAACCAAATTTGCTGTTTATTATTCCAGTGGATGTTGTAGAGAGTGTTTTTAAAGTCTGCAAATGACTTTGTAAAAGGAGAGTATTTGGACCAAAGAAATTTCAGTTTTCTAGCATACATTCCTGCAAACAGTGAGCAAAGTGTCAAAGAGCATTACCAAGAAAACCTCCCAAAACCCCCACAATACTACCATCAGTCTGATTACTCTTCTGATGTGTCTCATTAAATATAGACGGGCAAAGCAAGGAAACAGAACAATTTAGTTCACATATGAAACTGTCTACTTACAAGCTTGGAACTTGTTACAGGTTTGTTTCTCAGGGCTGGAGGTCTATACGCTTGAGCAGGCTTTGGCTCAGCACTGGGCAATTCACTTGGAACTGCCTGGTATTTTACTGCTTTCGCTGGGAACACTCCATCCAAGAAGGGCTGCCAGGAAACTTGCCACATTTCTTCATTTGATGGAACTTCATAGTTGTGTAACAAAGAGCCAGTGTAGTGCCATATCTTGTAACCATTACTGACTCGCAGCCTGGGAGCACACGTGGCTGTTACAATATGCTCCCCGTCAGGACACCAAGCAAAGTATGTGGAATCCGAGGCTACTGGTTTGGAAATAAGTTTGTAGTTTTTAACGTCCCACACTTCCATCTGTCCCCTGAGATTTCCAAATCCTGCTAGCACTAGGATGTGTCCATGGGGGCTGTAGTAGGCAGCATTGCGAGGCCCGGTTCCAAAATCAAACACGGGGTCACATTTCAGATTAAAAATTGTTGCTTTGGCAGGCATAAAACCATAGACAGCACAGAACTCAACAGAATTGGGGTTCCAAACAACATCATAAATAGGACCATTTTTTGCTAAAGGAAGAGGAAAATATGCAGCTGTTGTTAGGAGACTGTATCTTTTCAGTGTAAGCAAAAATAAAATTAATAGTGATTCTTAACTTCATGCTTTGCCAAAATGCTGTGATCTAATTATTGACAGTGAAAATGAATTCTGCTATCAATAGAGGTAGAAACAACATTTTATCTTCTGATAATTTTAGTTAAGGTTTGCAACAATAACTGCAGCCATTCCAAATTACCTCTGTAGGGTCAGCACCAGCACTTTAACAGTAAGCATATTTTTTTCCATGTAAAAAAATTCCTTCCCCCCCCCCTGCCCTCGTTATTCAAGTATGATCTCTCAGGACCTTCTCAAACTGTCCCACTGGAAACCTGCAAAAACAGGAGTTTTATACCAGCTGGATACTAGTTCCTCTTTTTTTTAATCTAAGAAATATTGCATAGCTCAGCTTTGTAGAGCTAAGAAATATTGATCTAAGTTATCTTTGGACCATACTCACGCACGGTATTTTATAAGACAGATTTTAAAGTGAGAGAGCACACAAAAAATGGTTTTACACATAATGATTAAAACTTGGTATTGTTAGATGCTATTCTGGGGGTTGGAACTTTAGGAGATACTGAAGAATTATGAAGTAGTGATGGAAACTCATGTAAAATGTACAGGGGTAAATTAAAACCATAGGTCGTTGTAACTTTTCATAATCTGGGTATCTGCACCTGTATTTCAGATAAGTGCTAAATGCATTACTGACAATTCTTAAATCCAGATGTTGACCCAAAATATCAAACTAATTTAAATAATTCATTCCTGTTGTTATTCTAAAGCCTCATTATCTTTAGAAACTAGCCTGTGCAATCACACTGTCTGTGTGTTTTCCCTTTTAAAACTTTCCAGATGACATTAACCAAATCCAATTGCAGAGACAGAGGTCTGACAGAAAATTATGTCTCTGCACGTTTCATGACAGTAGGCAGCTGGAGAGATGAGGGCAGCTTTATACAGGCTTCAACAGCTAAGGCAAAGGCTACAGCATGAGCATGTATTAGTCAAAAATGAAAAACCCTCTACAAATGCCAGTGTGAAAAAACCTTCAAAACTGGACCTCAAAAGTAACCAGATGATACAAATCCAAAGGAAATGAGGCACCACTCACTCTAAGTGCCCACCACTTGCTTTTGTTGGAAAAAAACAGTTTTACAAAACAGACATCAGTTTGTTTTGTTCCTTGAAAAGGAATAGCTAAATTAAATGAAAATTAGCAATAAACTCCCTGTTAAATAAAGATGTGTTGGAAATAAATAATTTCAAAGGGCAAAGAAGGTTTTAATAAGCATGTAATTAAACAACTAGTGTTGTCAATCCAGGAAACTGTTCCCAAAGACGTTCTAGATACAGAGTTATAATCCTGATTATTTTTCCCCAGTGAAGTTAGCAACAAAGGGAAACAGGGCACAGTTCTTGCTCCCACAAGTTTTGCTACAGAAGGCAAACTGGGGAAGTTCTCCCAGTCAGCACTAGTATTGAAAAGAACATATTCACAGTCTCTCTATGGTCACTTAGACATAGATAGTCTACATCACCCCATCCCCAGTGTTTTGAAACATTCACAACAAACTAGCCTCTCTACAACCCCAAACAAGACAGGTGTTTATGTTAAAGAGCAACAGCTTAAAATAATGACAAAATACCAACATAGGGGAAATTAACAAATGGACTTCCAGTTCAAACAAGACACTGAAATTAAGCACATCCACTTCCCTCTCCCCCACATGTCATTTTTATGTCTTAGAACACTTTCCATTTTACAATACAAAATAAAGGACTTCTGTTTTCCAATATGCTTCAAAAAATTGTTCTCACTCTCCCCCAGCTCCTTGAGTACACTATCAATTGCACATCTAAAAGTTCAGGTAGGATTATTCTGTTTGGTAACACCTTCCTGCCCATTTTGGATTCTCAGACACTAACTGGCTTTGTTGTCCACGTGTTTCCTTAGTAAACATACACAATTCCCTTCCTGTGCACATGAACACCCTCCCAAGCAAATTATTTGTATATACTAACTGAAAGTGTCATCTTAATGTCAGTGGCAGAGAGCACACAAGTATACCAAAGATGACAAGATAATTCAGCTATTAAAAAAACCAACCCCCCCCCCCCCCCTCCACGC